GGGGGGGGGGGGGGGGGGGGGAGAAATCCAACAAATAAATAAAATAAATAAATTACAGGAGAGTAAGCAGGCACACAATGGGGAATACACATTGAAAGGAATGTAGTGGCACCAGCAGCCCTGAGCATGCTCAGGGCTGGGAGCCACAAGCATACTATGCAAACAGCCCAGTGTATTCCTCATTGTGTGCCTTATTCTCTTGTAATCCCTTCCTCTCCAACCTCTCTGCTCTGGTGGGGGGGGTGGAGGGAAGAAGAAAAAAATGGATCAGGCACAGGAGAGATTGCCTACAGATCATTCCAGGGTGAGCATTCCAAAGGGCGGGGGGCAGACCAATCTAATGGGTCCAGCCTCCCTGCAGTGGATAGTGGTACTAGAGAATCCCATGGAAATCAGGGCATGATCTGACCATGACAAGCTCTTTCACTCCATCCTCTTCCCCCTCCACTAGCTCAGCAGTGAATGGAGCACACCACTGAGAGAGGGAAGGGGAAAGAAAATGAAGCGAAAGAAAGAGAATGGAGCGAAAACTCCCCCAATTTCAGATCATACAGCCACTACTCTGAGAGGAACATCAACTCCAGAGTGTGATCACTGTCCCATGTTGGGCTTTGGTTGACCTGGGATAGGCCCATGACTGTCATGGTGGCCATGAACTCCCAAGCCACCTCAGACCCCACTCCCAGAGAAGGCAGACTGAAGCCTCCCAGAATCATAAGTCTGAGGAACTCCACTACCCCAAGATGGAGTCAAGGAGCTCAGGCAGGGAGGTTGCTATGCAGCATGGAGGCTGGTACAACAGCAACTGTCCCAACTGATCCCTAGAGCCCAATTTAATGAACAGGGTCTCACATCTGGGGACCTGTGGGGCAGCATTCCTGAAAGACGTAAGGGGTTCCTGGATGACAATCGCCACACCCTCATCCCTGCCCCAGAGTTTCAGGTGATGCCACACACCCAATATCCCCACTAAGCACATCAGAAAGGGCTACCCTCCCTTCCAGACCCAGCCAGGTCTTGGTAATACATGCCAAGTCGGCCCTCCCATCAATGATTAAATCATGAATGATGGAAGCCTTATTGCATACACGCCCCAAACAGGGGCAGCACGAAAAATGTGGCCAGCCAAGCATTCCAAAACTCCACAAAACACTGCAACAATGCCGAAAAGCAGCAAGTGCAGCAACCAACAGGCGTGGCTGTCCTCTGCTCTGCTTCACTCCATTCCACTCCAGCTCCACTTGTCCAACCCATGCCACCACTCTCCAGCCCAAGCGGTACCAGACAAGCACCCCCAGCAGCATCCTTAGGACACAAACGACACAAACAGCAAACAGTGACAGCCCGAGAGCTCCCTCTCTCGCCGCCATCCTAACTGCCATCTTATACAAGTGTGTCTGTTTGTATATGATACAAAAACCCAAGTAGGCCTGACTAGTGCCAGAATAATAACTGAACAAAGGGATGGGAGAATGAATAATGAAATACAGGTAGTCCTCGACTTACGACCATTTGTTCAGCAACTGTTCAAAATTACAACAATGCTGAACAAATGTTACTTACGACTGGTCCTCAGAGCTCTGGCCATTGCAGCATCCTCAGGGTCACATGATCACGATTTCTAACATTCCCTGTTGGCTTCCCAGAAGCAAAGTTAATGGGGAAGCCAGCAGGAAGTTGGAAGTTGCGGTCACGGGAGGTCCCCACTTAAAAAGCTGCACAGTCCTCCCTTAATGATGGCAACTGGGACTTCTAGAACTGCCACTGCTAAGTGGTGCAGTCACATGACATTGCACTTTACAACCACGTTGCTTAGCAATGGTAATTCCAGTCCCAATTGCCATCAGAAGCTGAGGACTACCTGTAAATAATGTTCATTTACTGTAACACAACATTGTTCTTTCATTATCACTTCTCACTGAAGAACTTTGAAAACACAAAGAGGTTAATTACCAGCTTCCTCTACAGAGTACATTTCTCGCCAAAACATACGGTGCTTGTAGTCATCTTTTGGAGCGTATAAGTAAGTATTTAGTCCCCATTTCTGAAGTCTACAAAGTAAAAAGCAGATAAAAATGTCATTAGGAGAATATTTGTACAAATCTAGAAAAGGATGACAAAGCCAGATAGGCAACTGTTTTAAGAAAGATAGGAGGCCCAAATAGACAAAACAACAATTCACTGACCTTATTGTTCTGTAATTTTCATTTTCTTTTTACATATGGGCCCTTTCCTCCACTTTTCACATTGTAGAAACATAGGAGCACAATCCTAAGTTTCCTTACTTAGAGGACACAGGGATCTGGTACCGCTTCTAGTGGCACAATTACACATCAAACTTGTTTGAAAGCTAATACTCAGTCAATTTGGAATCAACCACATTCGGCAGTACAAAGTTGAGAATGCAACTGCTCATCAACTATGCTAAATTGTACACTATTAATTCTAATAATATTTATATAATACTATTATATAATAGTATAATACTAGTATAATACTACTAGTATAATAGTATAATACTATTATATTATTACTATATAATGTAGATCTACACATGCTGTTTTTTGAAAACTCAACAAATCCACTGCCACTGAGCATCACTGCCACCATCTAGTTTTTCACTGCAACCAATGCGAGAGGCACACTGCTGAACGCCTCCAAATCTTACCAACACTGTCAGCTCCATCGCTGCTGCTACACTGCTAGCTGCCAAACAGCTGATTGGTGCATCAGCTATTCCTCTGTGGCCCGTGATTATTTTTAATGTATCAATGTGGCCCTTTCCCTTCTATGAGTTGTGTCGGCCTGCTATGTATGTTTCTCATGTAATGTACTGATGTAAAATACAATAAAACATATTATACAAAACAATAATAACAAAAACCGAGATAATAAAAGGCCAAAAAAAATTATCAGTTTGCAAAATGAAAAAATAAATTTTTCACAAATCTTTTGAAGGCCAGGATGCTGAATAAATATTGTGGAAGCAAGTTTCATAGTATCACAGCTGCAGCAGGAAAAAATCCTGTTCTTACATCAACTACTGTAAATATAATGTTGAAAAATACTCATTAGAAAAATTAGGAAGAAGGCTCTAGTTAGATCTCCTGATATAATGAAGTCCCAGACTATGAGCTTTAAAAACCAACAACCAGTGAAATGGGATGAAAATTATAGTTTCAAAAGGAACCCCCCCCCCAGTATATTAAACAGACTAATCTGGAAGTTAGAACAATACGATTAATAGCAGTCAAGGATACATAGACAATTTATGAATTGGAGCTGAATAAAAACATTCTGGACAATAGAAGTCACTTTAAATTACTGAGCCATTCCAAGTCTGGCAGTATTGCCATCCTATTTACCTAACATTGCAAAGAGAGAACTTTGTCCCTAACAGACATTTCTACAACCAGTTTAACATACTGATACTTACATTATGATCACCTTATCTTGCTAAAGCTTGTGTTTGGATTTGTCAAAAAGGAGAAACATAGCTTAATCAGATTCTATTTCAGCAGAATATCCCCAAGAAGGATGTTTATGAGCGCAATCAAAACAATTAAAGGCAAAATACATCCTTCTCACCAGTTCAAGCTATATTACTATAGCAGCATGTTTGGCTTATTTGTGGGTGGGGGCAATCAAATGAATAATGTATATCACATCAGTGAGGGATGGGTCAGGCAATTCCTTTATTTATTCCTCAATCAGATATTCCTGTCCCCTCCTTGTAAAATTAATGTTCTTACTACTGATAATGCTAGTGGCTGGGTCAAAACAATGTTGTGGGTGGAACTTCATTCAGAATCATGTTCCTAGTATCAACAGAATTACCCAACTTTCCCCAAACCATTAGGTTCAAGCCAATGTAAATGTGAAATACAATACTGAAGCATAAGGAGCAACATTGCCTTAACTCCATATGCTGCAACCTACTCTTACTAATATTTAAGGGAAGAAAAAAAAAAAAATACCTGTATGTTTTTTTAACCACAAATAATGGATTTATTAATCTTAAAGAGAGGTCCACTTATAAGCAGTTTGGAAAACTTATTGCAAGTAAATAAAGGCAAGAACTACATGATTTTGTAATAACTTACTATTTATTATTTGGTTCTTTACACTTATGCTTTAATTGAATTTTGGACAATCAAACAATTACATAGCATAAAACTGCAGAACAAACACTATGTCATATACCTTCTAAACAGCTCCTTCCTCTGTTCCATAACCCAGGGTCTTCCATAAAAACCTGTGGGAAATATTGAACGTATAAATTTTAACTATTAAAATTAGTTTGAAATAATCAACTTTCAGAATATAAAAGCTTTGACTAAATGCATGTTTTGTTTCAGAATATTCTGATCAAATAGAATTTAAAACCCTGTCTTGTCTACCAACCCACCTACCTTCTGCACCTATGGGAAATAGTTAAAACAGAAATCCTATGTGAGCAGATGTAACAGCAGATGGAGTGTACTACTTTGAAGAACAAGAGTGGAGTTTACGAGTTCTCCTGGACTAAATGCTACTTAAGGTGGCTCAGATTACAGCAGCAGCCAAGAATTATTGTCACCCTGTTATGACTATATGCTAAAGTCTCATTTGGAGATGTCTGATCTTAGCCTCAGTTACCCATGCATATCTGGTAGGAATGTTTTAATATGCTCTATGACCACAAAGCTTTTGCTAGTTTGGTCAGGACTACACTATTGCTCTTTAACTGTGCCATTTGAATTGTTTGCCAGAAGTGACTGAATTATTATTGAAGTCTTAAGCAGTTTTTAACAAGTTATTTGAAAGACTGCTTCACCCATATTAACCTACCAATGGTTTAAGATTCACAACAGTATTCTTTCTCACATGCCCATATTATGAAGTAATTAGGTTAGATGAGAGAAATACAGTGGGGCAAAAAAGTATTTAGTCAGCCACCAATTGTGCAAGTTCTCCC